TAAACTATAATTGAAGGAGTATTAGTTTGCAAATCCAAACTTACTTTGAGTGTTATTAAAAATAAAATAAAAATTATTGATTAAAAACTTATTGAATATTGTAAATATATATTTTTTGATACATATTAACAACAAACAACAATAAATCAAGTTTAATACCATAAATGGAGATTAGGGATGGTAATGTGTATGGGGTCCATACCTCACATACTAAAGTAAATAAAAGAAAAAGAAAGAGGAGTGTTTGACCGAAAGAAAAACAAACTGTGGGCGCCAGTGGTTTGCAATTGTAAATTGCAATGAACCAATTCATCTTATTGGTTTCTTGGCAGCAATGATGGCTATAAATAGCAATCTCATTCTCTCAATTCAGACACACCAAAACAAAGAGAAGCTAAGTAGAAAGCAAAACAGTGAGAGTAATCCACAAATTATTGTCTGTGAGATAAATAATGAGTGACAGTATTATTGTAGTGAGGTGTTTAAAATAAAGAGTGTTATTTCTTTCAAATTTGTAGTAGTCTCTTGGTACTACTAAGTTATAATATTATAGTGGTAATATTGCTCTGCTCGGGTATTGTATTTTACCCCAATAAAAGATTTGGTGTTGTTGTTACTCTTTTGTGTCATTATTATTTATCGTAAATATTATTCCTGGGCGAGATTATTATTTTTCCCAACAACACGGTATCAGAGCCATGACGAATAATTGTACGCTATCTTTTCAGTACCCCCATCTCACAAAAGATAATTATGAGAAATGATGTCTACGTATGAAAGTCATTCTTAGCTCTCAGGATGTATGAAAAATCGTAGAAAGAAGGTATGCAAACCCGATAATGAGGAAGCTCTACCTCAAATTGAAAAAGAGGTCTCGGCGAAGATAAGGAAGAAGGATCAACAAGCCTTCACGCTCATCCACCAATGTTTGGATGATGCCATGTTTGAGAAGGTGACAGATGCTACCACCTCAAAGGAAGCGTGAGGGATTTTACAAATTTCTCTTTAAGGAGTTGACAAGTTGAGGAAGATAAAACTTCAAACGCTAAGGGCTGATTTTGAAGTTTTGAAAATGAAAGAATTCGAATGCATTTCGAATTATTTTTCAAAAGTGCAGGCTGTTGTAAATCAACTAAGAATGTATGTGGGAGGACATAGAAGATGTTCGTTTGGTAGAAAAGATCCTACGCACTTTAACACCTAAATTTGATTTTGTGGTGTGTGCTTTTGAGGAGTCTAAAGATTTAGACTATATGATGGTAGAGCAATTGGAGGGCTCTTTACAGACCCACGAAGAAAAGATTAAAAGGTGACAAGAAGTGTCATTTGAGCAACTTCTTAAAATTTAGGCATCCTTCAAGGATTATAGAGGTGAAAAGAGCTATCAAGGAAATAGATGGGGACGAGGTCGTAGCAGTCATGGAAGAGGAAGAAGTAACTGTAACAACTTTAACAATAAAGTTAAAATCCACTAAACATTCATAGGTCGTGGTCGTGATCATAAAGGAGGAAGATAACGTGGCTACTACCAAAAAATAATGGACAAATGTATGACAAATCAAAAATTGAGTGTTATAATTGTCATAAATTTGGTCATTACTCTTGGAAATGCCGTAGCAATGTTAAAGAAAAAGCTAACATTGTTGATGACAAACAAGAAGAAGTAAAGTCAATGTTGTTGATGACACTCAAGGAAGAAGACATGAATAATTGCAGCTCGTGGTATTTGGACAATGGAGCAAGCAATCATATGTGTGCATACTAAGAGAAGTTTGTGGATATCAATAAAACGATGAGAGATAATGTGTTCTTTGGAGATACCTCAAAGATTCAAATCAAAGTGATATGTACGATTCTGATCTCCTACAAAAATGATGACCACAAGTTAATTTAAGATATTTATTATGTCCCGAAATTAAAAAGTAATATTTTGAGTTTGGGCCAACTTTTTCAAAAAGAATATGACATCCTCATGAAAAATATGCATCTTTGACCTAGATATTCAAGCAGAATTCTAATTGCTAAAGTGCATATGGCTAAAAATAGATTATTTTCTCTGAATCTTAAGACAATTGATGCAAAGTGTTTGAAGGCTAATGTGCAAGATGAATCATGGTGTTGGCACATGCGATTTGGGCACTTGAATTTTGAAGCACTCAAAACAATGGGAGAAAAGAATATGGTGCATGGGATACCGTCAATCAACCATCCCAATCAATTGTGTGAAACTTGTCTTCTTGAAAAACATGCAAGGAGGAGTTTTCAAAAGAAGACCAAGTTAAGATCAACCAAACCACTTCAGCTTGTTCACACTGATGTGTGTGGACCAATCAATCCACCTTCCTTTAGTAAAAGTAAATACTTTACTTTTCATTGATAACTTTAGAAGAAAGACTTGGGTTTATTTCTTGACCCAAAAATTTAAATCTTTTGCTGCTTTTAAAAATTTTAAACTGCTTGTGGAAAAAGAAAGTGGCTGTGAAATAAAATCTATAAGGTCCGATAGAGGAGGCGAATTTGCTTCATAAGAATTTAATGACTTCTATCCGTCTCATGGAATTCGTCACCCTCTAACGATACCTTATTCACTCCAAAAAAATGGAATTGTAGAGAGAAAGAATCAAATGAATCTTAATATAGCTAGATGTATGTTGAAAGCTAAAAGTATGCCCAAGGAATTTTGGCCCGAAGCTGTTTCTTGTGTAGTTTATTTGAACAATAAGTCTCCAACAAGAAATGTTAGAGATCTAACCCCTCAAGAAGCATGGAGTGGAAGAAAACCAAGTGTCAAACACTTGAGAATCTTTGGGAGAATAGCCTATGCTCATGTTCCACAACAAGGGAGAGCGAAGCTTGACGATCGAAGTGTCAATCATGTATTTTTTGGCTATGATACGAGTTCAAAAGGCTACAAGTTATACAACCCAATCCGCGACAAGGTGGTGGTAAGTCGCGATGTTGAATTTGATGAAGAATTGGCATGGAACTAGGAAGCTTAGGAAGAAACTTCATATGATTTTCTTTAGTACTTTGGTGATGAAGAAGAATCAGAGGCCGTGGAACCTGTGCGAGATACAACTCCACCTCCTTCTCCAACCAATGTTGCATCTCCCTCTTCTCAAGAAAGTTCAAATGAACAGCCGCAAAAAATAATGATTATTCAAGAACTTTATGAGGACACAAAAGCAGTTACTAATTTTGATTTTTTATATTGTTTCTTTACTGACAGTGAACCAATGAACTTTGATGAAGCTGTTACAGACAAAAAATGGAGACAAGCCATGGAGGAGAAGATTAAATCAATAGAGAAGAACAACATTTGGGAGTTAACAACTCTTCCTAAGGGCTATCGAGCAATTGGAGTTAAATGGATATACAAGCCAAAGAAGAATGCTGATGGAGATGTGGAGAAATACAAAGCACGACTTGTGGCTAAGGGCTACAAGAAAAGGCAAGACATTGACTATGAAGAAGTCTATGCACCTGTTGCCCGCAGGGAGATGATTCGTTTGCTCATCTCTTTGGCAGTACAAATAAATTGGAAGATCCATAAACTAGATGTCAAGTCAGCTTTTTTGAATGACTATCTTAAAGAAGAAGTCTATGTTGAACAACCATTGGGCTTTGTGGTAAAAAATCATAAAGATAAAGTGTTGCGGTTGAAGAAAGCTTTATATGGATTAAAGCAAGCCCCACGAGCATGAAATAGTTGCATCGACAAGTATTTCCAAGACAATGAGTTTACTCGTTGTCTTCATAAATATACTTTTTACCTTAAAGTTAATACTAATGGAGATATCTTACTTATTTGTCTTTATGTTGATGATCTTCCTTTCACGGGTAATAACCCAAGTTTGTTTGAAGCTTTCAAGAAAGATATGTCCCGTAAGTTCGAGATGACAGACGTAGGACTCATGTCATATTACATGGGCCTAGAAGTAAACCACACGGAGGATGAAATTTTTATCTCTCAAGAAATCTATACAAAAGAGATATTGAAGAAGTTCAACATGCTCGATTGCAACCTCGTGAACACACCGATGGAGAGTGGGACAAAATTTTCCAAGTTTGATAAAGGAGAAAAAGTGGATCCCACATTTTTCAAAAGTCTTGTGGGAAGTTTGAGGTACTTGAATTGTACCAGGCTAGATATACTTTTTGCAGTTGGAGTAGTAAGTCGCTTCATGGAAGCTTCTAACTGCACTCACTTGAAGGTCACTAGAAGAATTCTTCATTACCTAAAAGGTACGATTGACTTGGATTATTTTATTCTTCTTCTAATGTCTTCAACCTTATGGGATTTTGTGATAGTGATTATGCAGGAGATATTGATGATAGAAAAAACACAATTGGTTTTGTAATTTTCTTGGGTGATTTTGTTATTTCTTGGAGTTCAAAGAAACAATCCACAGTTACTCTCTCGACTTGTGCAGTTGAATATGTAGCAGCAACATCATGTGCCAGTCATGCTATTTGGCTAAGAAGATTATTGAAGAAGCTCAATTTGCCACAAATTGAAGCTAAAGAGAATTGTATTGATAACAAATCTGCACAGGCACTCGCCAAAAATCCGAAGTATCATGGTCGAAGCAAGCATATAGATACAAAATATAACTTCATCAGAGAGTGCATTGCCAAGAAGGAAGTCGAGTTCAAATATATGAAGTCTCATGATCAAGTTTTTTACAATGCCTCGCAAGTTTGAAGATTTTTCAGAGATTGAAAACAAGACTTGGAATGGAGAAGAAAAATCAAAATTAAGGGAGAGTAAATAAAAGAAAAAGAAAGAGAAGTGTTTGACCGAAAGAAAAACATATTGTGGGCGCCAGTGGTTTGCAATTGCAAATTGCAATGAACCAATTCATCTGATTGATTTCTTGGGCAGCAATGATGGCTATAAATAGCAAACTCATTCTCTTCATTCAGACACATCAAAACAAAGAGAAGCTAAGTAGAAAGCAAAGTAGTGAGAGTAATCCACAGATTGTTGTTTGTGAGATAAATAGTGAGTGACAATATTATTATAGTGATGTGTTTTAAATAAAGAGGGTTATTTCTTAGTCTCTTGACGCTGCTAAGTTGCAATATTATAGTGATAATATTATTCTGCTCGGATATTGTATTTTACCCCAGTAAAAGATTTGGTATTGTTACTCTCTTGTGTCCTTATTATTTGCCGTGAATATTATTCTTGGGTGAGATTATTATTTTTTCTAACAACGTGTACGCAAACGTTACCCATACCTTATAAAGATAGAGAAATTATTTATGACAGACTCTCGGTTTAAGAAATAATAAAGATTAAGTAACCAAATAACAATATGATAACGGGCACGAATGCTATAACATGTAAAGAAAGTAAAAGACGTAATGACATACATTTAGGATTGAAAAATAAGTTTTAAACTACGTGTATAGTTAGCTAGACAAAATCATATAAAATCAAGAAAGTACTGCCGCAATAAATTAATGGTGATGATAACGTTAAAAGAACTGGTCCAAAGTCCAAAGCAAGTAAAACATTTCACTTCCCTACAGCCTTATAATGGCTTCTTGCCCAAAATACAGATTCTTTTTTTTCTCACTCTGCTCTGCGCGTTAAGGACACACACACTTTACACATACACACACAGTGAGTACAAAACTTATGTACTACTACCCCCTCCCTCCTACCACAGCCTTCTGCTTTTTTCTTTCTTACGTACTGTCTTTGTCCCCATTAATTTCCCATTGCTGTCACTGTACAAGTCAAGTGAAGTTGTGAACAGAAAACATAGGGTCCATTTTCTTTTTTTCACTTGTTTTTTGATTTCTCTGCTCTGTTCACAGAAAAAAGATTACAACTTTGCATTTACAAAGACCCCTTTGAACAGTATATTCATTTAGTGTGTGTGTGTTTTGTGGGGGTATAAAAAGAGGGAAGCAAAAGAAAATATGCAGCAGCACCTGATGCAGATGCAGCCCACGATGGCAGCCTACTATCCGACGAACGTCACCACTGACCATATTCAACAGGTTTTCTTCTCCTCTTTCTTCTTCTCCCCCTCTCTGCTCCTTCTCTTCTTCTGCTCACTACTGCTTTAGTCCTTTGATCAGAAAATCTGCCATTTATCTGCTGCTCCTTTTGTGCATACAGTATATACACTACTCTAGCTAGTTATTATTGTGTGATGATAGCGGCCAGGTAGGTAGGGTAAGTTATGCGTACACATTAACCTTCTCAAATCCCACCTATGAGATTCTGGGTTCGTTATGGTTGTAATTGGTAGCCAGCTAGGTATATTTTGGTTGCTACTCTTGCTATGATTAAAGGTGTTTGGGGTCTCTATTTTATCAAACACTTGTTACTTTCAATCAACACAAGTATTTGGTACTTGTGATTTTTTTGTTGCTATTATTTTTTTATGACAAGGGTGTTTGGGATCAACTTGTACATGGTTCGACTATTTTATCGGGTACCTGTTACCTTTAACCTGCACAAATATCGGGTAGTTCTATCTATTAAGGAATATGTAGATGGAAAAAAATAAACTAGCGTTCATGTTCTTCTCGCTCATTTTCTTGACTAATAGGTCATGCCCTTGGATATTATACTTTGGTTGCTTATTCTTAGCTGTTAGTAGTTGTAATTTTTGTTTTTCATATTATTTGGTTAGTCTTGCTATGAGGTACCTATTTCATGGTTATAGTCTGCTCTTTTTCTCACTTTTTTGAACTTTTGAGCTACTTTTCCATATAAAATAGAGAAAAAAGAAATGAGTAGGTCTGAAAAGAAACTATGCTGAAATGCTGTTTGCAGACTGCTAAAGCTAGTGTTTAATTTGTGCCCTAAAAACTTTTGGTACATTTAGGGATTCAACAAACAAGTCCTTTAATTTGTTTCATTTTTTTTATAACTTTGGTGTCGAAACTCGACTATTTCATGTCATACTTGTTACCTTCCACCACCGAGCAAAGTATCAGGCTTAAACAAATGAGGAAGAACTCTCCTATAAAGTTCAAGTAGCCTGCCTGCATTACTAACAGAAGAGATGCAAATAATTCCTTGGTATTAGTATGAGGGAAGAAACTATTGCTGTTTTGGCTGTTTCATTATGAGATTTGGTCGTTATACATATGATGTTATTTTAACATTTGCTTATGTTGGGGCTTTCTTTTATTCTATGTTAGTACTTGGACGAGAACAAATCACTGATTCTGAAGATTGTTGAGAGCCAGAACTCAGGGAAACTCAGTGAATGTGCAGAGTAAGTAAAGTTTTCACTTATTTTATTGTAATTATTTTTGTTTCTTTGAAACCCTTGAGGAAGTAAAGTTAACTTTTTTAAGACTTATTACTGAAGGCCACACTGGTTTTTTAAGAAATGCTATATGCCAACACTATCTCTAGTCACCTACTTGTAATAACCAAGATTTTATACTGTCACCAGTTCTATATTTTAGGTCTCATCAGTAGTAGCATTTTTGAATCTTGAACATTGAAAAATATTAAAGGTAAGTAAAGGACAGCTACTTTTTGTTGTGGCAGGAACCAGGCTAGGCTTCAAAGGAATATGATGTACCTTGCTGCTATTGCTGATTCTCAACCTCAACCTTCTAGCATGCATTCTCAGGTAATATAGCCTTTTCTTGATTTTTTTAGACTCTCACATTAGTTGTACTTTCTTGAGCTAAAGGATCTATGGGAAAGGACCTCTCTATCCTCACATGGTAGGTGTAAGGTCTGCGTACACACTATGCTCCCCGGACCCCACAGTGTGGGATAATACTGGGTTGTTATTGTTGTTGTTGTCTCACGTTGGTTTTGAAAAAGTGCAGTAGTCTCTTTAGGGCTTGTTTGATATGAGGGATAATTAATCTCGTGATTACTTTGATATGAGTTTATCCCATATTTTATTGGGATAAAATTGCGGTATAACTAATTCCAAGATTAGTTATCCTAGGATTGTAATAATTCTTTTTATTCCTGTAGGAGGGTGGTAACAATCCCTAGATAACTGATTTTGAAATAATTAATCCTTGGACAACTTGTTTCCCAACCAAACGACCTCATTGAGCGTAACTTCTATCAATTTTATATTAGGCTACTTAAAAATAATTAAAGATAACTAGTTTCCGTAATAAAGGAGATTAGCACCCTGAAAAAATAGGCAAGTTATATGCATAACAAGTTAGAATACACTGTCAATATTAAAAAGAAAATACAGTATCACATTCATGTTAAATCCGCATCTCTTGATATTATCTTGGATAATCCTATCTTTTTTCTTAATAATTTTTCATCGTTATACATAATTTTGCTAATTGGGCCACTTGATTAACCATGGGCGGATATTGCCTTAGTGCACGGGTTCAACTAAACATAATATTTTTAACGCGGAACATAGTCATATTTGTACATAATAACTAGCGAATTTTAACAAATGTTAGATTCTGAACTCATTGTAAAAGAACAGTGAACTTATTGCTGGGAAGAAGTTGAAGCTATCATGTTAAAATCTTGAATATGCATGTGCCTTTAATCCTCTTTTCCTCTTCATCCTTCAATTCTTATCTTTGTTTTAAGAACAAAAAAGGGATGCCTGGTGCACTAAGTTCTCGCTATGCGTGAGATACGAAAAAGTGTTGGACCACGAGGATTTATTGTACGTAGACTTAACCTGTATTTCTGCAAGAGGCAGTTTAAGAACTGATTAATGTAATGTACTCGTGTAGTTTGGTTCTGGCGGGATGATGCAGCCAGGAACACATAATTATCTGCAGCAACAACAAGCACAACAAATGACAACACAGTCACTCATGGCCGCGCGATCCTCCTCAATGCTCTATGGACAACAACAACAACAACAATCACTATCCCCATATCAACAAGGTTTGCATAGCCAACTTGGTATGAGCTCTGGTAGTGGAAGCAGTGGACTTCACATGATGCAAAGTGAAGCATCAGGTCACGGCGGAAGTGGAGGTTTTCCTGACTTTGGTCGCGGAAATAAGCAAGATATTGGGGCGCTGTCTGCTGAAGGGCGCGGTGGAAGTTCAAGTGGACATGGTGGAGATGGTGGTGAGAATCTTTATCTGAAATCTGCTGATGATGGTAACTAAGGGTACAAGTAGTTAAGTTAGTATTATGATAGGACGAACTTAATTAGGAGCAAGATTTAGTTTTGCAAGAATTTTGAAATTCCTGTGCTAAGTGATGGACTTGTAATCTGTGTTGTGTATTCTAATGTTGTTGATCAGTATGTCTAATGCATGAGAAACTGCATATGTCATGTACATTTGTTAGGTCCTTAATTTTGGTTTGATTTGCTTTTCTAGGTGACCTTTTATTTGTTTGGGTAGTTGCATTTATTGATCGATTACATTAAGCCAAATAATTTAATACAGTAGTTAAACAATTTATTGATCATGGTTAAGTGATAATTTCGTGTATGAAAAGTACTTTGTCTTCCATTCATTAGTTTGTTGTAAACAATGGATATGTAAGTTTAAATTGCTTTCTCAACAGCAGCAAACTCAATTTTTGAAAAAAAATTGCTCACAGTACTGTATGATTGCAAATAAATCAATAAAAATATGGCATGTGTTTTAAATAAACTCTTACTATCGTTTAATTTTAGTTGATCAATATGTATAATTTTTATATCAATTAATGACTAATATATACTTCTCTAGGAATTGATAACTTGATATAATCCGAGTAGAGGTGGCAAAATTGTTAAAAGAAAACAGTTAACCACCCATATTATTCACTAAAAAATGAGTTGGATAATGAACTTTTTAAAAATTGGTTAAATATGGATAAGAACCATATTATCCATTTAGAAAATTGATAACCAATGGGTCTAACTTTTACATTTGTGAAGCCTCAAATTGGGGGTTCCTCAAGTTAGAGAGACTAAGAATTCTCCCAAAAGTAATCATATGCAAGAAGTTATGGATAATATGGTCACCCATATTATTCGCCGATTAACCTATTTTTTATCGTATTAAATATAGATCGGGTCAGATAATTTATCCGTTTTTTCATTACCCGTTTTCGACCTGAACCATATCCGATCGGACCGCCCATTTACCACTCCTAAATGCGAGCATTGAGTGCAGTTGGGTACCACTTGAAACTAGCGAAGAGTAGGATACTGAAATATCTATTAGGGTGATGAATTTAGGGTTAGCTTCACATATATATATATATATATAGTCGTTGATCTTTTGTCACCATGACAATAAAGTCACAATATTATACATCAAACTTTAATACAGTTAGCAAACATCTAATAACAAGAAACTCATATAGTAAAATAATTCAGTGTGATTATTGTTTTTATATTACAATTACAGTAATCTTGTCTATGAATTAGACAACCTATTAATATTTGGAGAAGACGTTATCATTTTTAATACGATACTGAAACTTGATATAGACTTCGCGATAACTTCTAGTTTTCTTGTACATTAGTGATTAGAGAAGCTTCCAAGTATTTATATATAGTAGTTATAAACTTGTAACTTTCAACCAATAAAGTCATTCGCTAGCTAAAATTTTAAAACATGTGCTTTGACAATATTTTCCATACAATTTTATACCTCTACACTTTTGGAAAAAATTAAAAGAAGGAAGAAAGAAGAAGAAATGGAATTCCAACTTTCCGTCCTGATAATAAAAGAGAATCTTAATAGTTCAGTTGATGGTCTAGTTGAATTGTTACTTATTAATAAAGTTCGATTTCCTACCTTATAATTCCCCTACTCCATTTTCCCTTTCCCTTCCCTTTATATAATAATTTTTATTTTTTAAATAAACATATATATGATAGTGATTTTTGTCAATATATATGACACGATAGTTAGTTGTTACATCAATCGATGTAAAGTTGGACAATAGCTAGTTTCTTGAGTAAACTAGTTGATCTCCAAATCATGGTGGATACTTTAATAACAATTTCATATAATCTTTTCATAACTAACAAAAGAATTTAAATTCTATCTGTTAAAAATGTAAGAGGTATTCATACGTTCAATGTAATTTGACATGCTTTCCACAACAGCTACATATTATCAATTCATATTTTTTTTGGTTCCCCACATAGTATTCAATACCGGCTTTGGGCCCCAATTATATTTGGACTCGCACCGATAAGCCCCACAATGAGGGTAAAGAGCTCTTATAAAGGGCGACTTCAAATCCAAAACTCAAATGCAAAACGGTGGTTAGGGATAAAGGATATCAACCCATACTTAGTACAAAAGCTTACTGCAATATAAGCCAATTTGTTTTAATTGTTCTATACATCGCTAGTATAATTCAGTATTTGAAGATAATAACTTTTAAAGTAATTGCTAGCTAGAACTACAATTACCAATTTAATTACAAATATGTTCCTCAAAGCCTCTGTTTGAATTTCCTCCGTTTTTCCCACAGGTTTTTCCCCCAGTGTGAATACAAACAATATGATCTTCATAGTCAAAGGGCACTAGTAGTTATGATAATATATTGTCATATAATAAATTAATGATGATTAATCTCAATCTTTTCCGTTCCATATTTTCAAAGAGAGCAATCAGTTGGATGATTTTTCAGTCAACTATAATTTTTGCAAACAATATTGTCCGCATGTTGTTAATTTGAATAGACTTGCAAGTCCTCGATGATGCCCTTCCCTGCATTGCGGGAGCTAAGTGCACCGGATTAATTTTTTCTTTTTTGGCAAGTCCTCGATAACAAAAATGTGAAAAGAGAAGTCTAGTCTGCCTAATTAATTCCAAAAGGTCAGTTATGCTTCGCCCAAATTCAGCACCACAGTTTTGAACAAGATTCTGTTTAGAAGGTAAAAGAGGCATGTGGTTTAATCTTGAGAGAAGAGAACTTCAAAAAGGACAGTCCAATACACAATACGACATACGTATCCCGCGTTCACTCAGATTCCATGAAAAGGAAGAAAACTCTTACAAGTCTTAGTAAATATAAAAATTTAGTATTTTAGTTAGTAAATTTTATTCAAATATAAAAATATGTCTTTTTTATTTTATTTTAAAAACAGACTAAGAAAATAATGTAACATAAATTGAAATAAGGAGGTACATCCTAAGTAAAAAGGCAATTATTTAGAAATTAAGAACTAGGTTACTCATCCAAAAATATCAAAAGTGGTTACTTCATAGCAAGTCTCGTCCTCGTTTTCGATTGTAACATTATTTATTTCCTTAAAACTAAACCAAACAAATTATTGCCTTCTTTTCTTTTTTAATAATTCAACACCAAATTGTGCCCAAACTAAAGCACGTATGGCATATCGGTATAATTTGGTATTTCGATTTACTTTGGTACTTTGGTTTGTCTTGGACACTTTATTAATTTTTACAATAATTGTTATTAAGTGATATGCGATTTTGAGCATCTGTAGGATTCAAGTGGCCGTGCATAGCATGGGTAAGTTCTATGCGGCTATGCATAGTAGTATTTATATGACCCCGAAATACCAAAAAATGACGATTCGTCGTCTCATATTCCTTCGTGTCTACTTAACTTTTACCCAAATGCATGGTCATGAACGGCAACATACGACAAAAAGGAGTGAGAGCGTAGAAAGAGCAGCTATTAGATGCTAAGATCATACTGAAAACCTTGATGCTGTATATATAGACATATAGTACTCGTAGTTATAAATGAGAAAACTGACGTAATGAAAGTGAGAGCTAGCTATAAGTATGGAAATTTGGCTCAAAATCCTCCAACATCTATAGGTGAACATACAACACGAATCAAAAAGGTTAAAAAAAAGAAGGGCAGAGGTGTACAAAGCATTCTGCATTTACGCAAGGTCCAAGAAAGGGCCGCACCCTAAGGTGTATAATGTTGATAACCTACCTAAATGCAAACACTAATGGCTGCTTCCACCATTGAACCTGTAGCCTATACGCCACACGTAGACAACTTTATCATTGATCTGAAGCTCCCCTCCAGCACAAATAAAAAAGGTAGTTGTCTTAGTTTGCATAAAGAAAGACTATAAAATCAGCAACAAAACGTTTCATAAAATTTACATATTATAAATTTTCACTCTGCCCTATGAAAAAACAGAAAGACCGAAAATACAATGAAATAAACTACATCTAGGTACATAAAAACTGATATGCCTCAGAAAGTTCTTTCCAGATTAACTCATAATCAACATTACTATTATCAATCTCTTGAGGTAAAGGTTCTTTGATACTTGAACTTGCAGGGCTTTTTCCGGTGAATTGTTGAACGATGGCACGAAACTCGGTTGCATTTTTGGCATTTACCATCACTGGACTGTCTATGTACTTCACCTTTATCGGCTCTGATCTCCCTTTACTACTGCTTATGGACGAGTCGAAAACGGGTAATGCAGTAGTACTTCTGCCTGTGTATTGCTTTTGCTCTTTCTTAGCATCCATGAATATATATATGCCGGAAATATCTGCAAGCAGTTTATAGTGTCAGTGAATCTTGAAACCGTGCTATTTATACATTGGAAGGGAGAGGGAGGGTAGGCAACATTATATATTACAATAGAAAGAAATTTCCAAGAAATAATCAGGTATGGAATAAACAGACACATAAGCTAGCTTGGAGATGAAAAGACATGTTTGAATGAATGAATGAAGTAGATAGTCAAGGAAAGATTGTGACACGCGCATGCAAAGATATATTAAAGAGACATAGGTTTTAACTAATACTCCATCCGTTTCAATTTTTGTAAACCTATTTGACTGGATAATTTTTGAACTTGTGGTGTAAAATTAGACACACACGTAAAATATTGTGTGACTATAAAATTCCTGGCACAATTTCTTATTATGTACATTATCCAGATGTCTGGCGTCATTGCTTGCTTACATGGTGGACTATTTTATGCAGCTTATGATTAGAAGCTATCTGAGAGTCCATNTATATATATATATTTATATTGATGGTATTGTTATTTCTATTGTTTCTATTGATGATATTGATGTATTATCTCTTTTTGTATTCTTGAGCCGATTTGAAAACAACCTCTCTACTCCCTCGGGGTAGGGGTAAGGTCTGCATACTCACAATCCTCCCCATATCCCACTTATAAAATTTCACTAGNTATATATTAGGGTGGTAGGTTAAGAGGTAATTGAACATTTTTCTACTTCGTATCAGATGTGAGGCTAGTCAGATGCTAGTCAGATAGAGTTTCGTTTTAGACTGTTAGTGGTTAATGTTGTTCACACTATTCTTCCATTTTCCATAGTACCAGGTCTTGTTTACTTGTTATTGTTATTGCTTTAATCCATTTTCTGATTCTTATGTCGCTGTTATTAT